TGCTTAGTTACTTTGATACACTATACCTTAATTTAGGATAACCTAGTGGTTAGGAGCATGTTCAAAACTAAAACTAAACCAGGAGGTGCTACTACGAGGAGTTTGGAGCGAACATCGTGGGCAGCGCGACGAGGAACAATTTCCAGGTGGATCTGCAGCAACGAAACATCTTCACATCACATGAACATTTTCACAACACTATACACTTTCCTTCGTTTAAATAACCTATAGGATCACTCTTTAGGCTTTCTGTACAACTCTGTTTTACAATTATAAGTCCTAACGTTTTAGGATTTCGATGTTACCGTACGGTACGATGTAAATCCTCCTGTCTTTTAGGCTATTTGCACAGTATGACGTTGTACAAACATAAGTCCTAAATTCTAAATAATTTGTAAGATTGAAATATCAAATAAACATCATTTCAAAGACATAAAGTCAAACAATAGGATAGTTGGGAGGTCACCGGGGTTTTCCCTAGATCCGTGATATCCCCTACTTCTCTTTCATTTGAATTCCTTAAATAATTGTTCCTATTTTGAGTCATTCCCATTTGATTTTCCTATGTCCAATCGCGACAACCTAAATTTTGAAATCTTGAAAACAAAACAACCCGATCTTAATAGAGAGTTTTCTTAAGTGATTTCGATCATTTAAGATGTAATTAACTATAGGGGCTTGCCTCTATAGGGAACCAGGAACCCAGATAAAATAAACTAAAATAAACAGATAAAATAAACCTTATCTAATCCTCATATTAGGTAGGGGAACTTGTTGGCCTTTTAAAAAAAAAATATTTCGCAAACTAAAACGGATGTCACAAATTCTTTAGTCTAGGTGATTGAATTTCTATTACAAGTGATATATTTATTCTTTTGGATAAGTGTATTACTTGTAATATTGTATTCAATTATCTAAACTATTTAAAATGTGAGACTTGTTTGATCTCACCTATTTTTAAAATTAAAATGTTACTTTTAAAAATAAAAAGGGTTACATTCATATTTCAATTATTTTTAAATCACAAAATCACTACTTTTTGAAATCACAAAAGTTAAAATAAAAAAAACGACCGAAAAAGACACTTAGGTTTATACTCAAAAATAGCCCCCCAACCATTCATATTTGACAAATTTAATTCGAGAATTATAGTTTTTCAATTTATTCATCGACTAATGAAACTGATCTAAAATGATCCCACGAGAACAAAATTGGTATCAATTTTTACGGCCAATGGACTAAAATAGGATCACTTTGGTATCACAATTTCTATACATGGAACCATTTTGGATCAATTCTATAAAGTCGATGACTAAATTAGACAAATGTGATGTTATGACCTAAATTAGCCACAAATGGGTAGTCAGGTAACTATTTTGATATTCAATCTATTAAAAATATCATATCTAAGTAAAGTTTTATCTATTAATAATATTTATTTGATAATTATTAACAACCAGCAATTAAAGTGAACATCATTTATTCTTTCATAGATCTATAATTTATAAGCCTCTGTCTTCAAAATAATAACCATTACTCAAGCTTAATACTTTGTGTAAGAAAATGGTTAACTTATTAGAACTATCTTCTACCAAAAAAAAAGCATACACTAGTAAGACATTTGATGAACATTCTTTGCAAGCAGCTCGATAGCTAATACAAGAAAATGTCACCTCAATGTGACAACCACAATTACTTATAACACTCGTTAATCTTTCATCATTAGTTTTAAAATATATATTTTCTTCCTTAATATTTCAAATCAATTCTCCTAGTACGCATGCATATTCCTTGTCAAAATCAATAAAATAATATGAAGATCCATCCCTACTCTATTTACTTTTTCATAAATTAGCGCAAAGATCGCTACTATCGTACATTTTCTTGGAAAGTGACTAATTGATTCTTCAAAATTGATGAAACTTTTCCCAAGTCTATGTTTAAATACTCTCCCTCATAACATCACTACAAGGCTCATATATTCTGCTCCATTAACACAATCTTGAACAATTGTTTTTTTTCTTAAATATCAATACCAAATACTTCTTCTCCAATCATTAGACATTATTTTAATCCTCAGTATTCTAGTAAAAAAAATCTATTAGCCAAACCACAATAATGATATTATAATTCTTTAAATATTAATAAATATCTCATCTAGACCTAAAACTTTATCTTTATACATCTTCCTTAATGCTAACTTCAATTTATCTTTTTGAATCCAGTTAGAATATCTCATTGTTTTGCTCATTATGCTCTTTCAAAATAGCTTCTTCCATAAAACTACTAAGTATATGCATATGCATACCTAAGAGTGTATAAATACGGACACGGACTTTCTCCTCTTATAAAAAGAATTTCTATTCTCCTGTCAATTAGTCCAATTTTATTTATGACTCACAGGTATAAATTTTCATTATCTTTAACATCGTCGGGCTATGTGCCAAATACAATTCAAAAGTTTCTTTTTTTATGATGCTTATTTCATCATTGATTAGGAGCACAATTTTCCAATTTCATTTTTTTTTATTGCAAATGAACAGAAGTGTGATTTTTCATGTCCACTCTTTTAGATGGTCTAGAATTAGAAGCATATTATATTTTAATATAGAGATGGTATTTTCTAGTTTCAAATAGAAAAATGCATAACTGGGATGAAAATGAGTATTCTCTCCTCCCAAATTTTTTTTTGCATCTGCAACTTTTTAGGGTCTTCAAACTCCATAACACACCACTGATTATGATTAAAATATGAGAATTATTTGTAAATCAAGCTTCTTCATTTTTTATGAAAATTTAATCACTCAGCAAGTGTAGATTCTTATTTGCATTGAAAATGACAAAATAATGATAATCACTGATCACAACCGTTTACAAATATTTGTTGTAGAGAATATTCTTTGCTCCTAGATTTTAATATTTTGAGGTAGCAGTGAATTGGTGTAGCAATTAGACTATCATTTATATTTAATCAATTAAATTCTTTTAGCTAAATCAAGCCAAATTTGGGGGAAGAGACGGAAGGTTTTAAAATTTATCATATCTTAGAATCTTAGGATGACTTGCTTTAAAGCATTCATTGGCACCAAGCACCAATATTCTTTTAAAACCATTGTTATCATGCACGCAAGGGCTCTCTTGTTTCAATGTATGAATTTACAAGTGGTTAGATGTTATTAGCTCTAAAGGTAAGCGAAGTTGAATAAAGTTGCAGTAATATTTACTTGTTTTCCACAATTAATTCCTATATTTGTTTGAGTTGCAATGAGTTTTATTTTTGCCCATTCTCACCTTCATCTTCAATTTTTTCATAGCTATTATAAGAAAAAATAATATTTTATCACACTATCCCAATGATTTAATATTATTTCAATATTATTAAAAGTAAAAAAAATGCAGGTGACTTCCTCATCCTTAAGATTGAAACTCAGACCTCCTATTTGCTAAGGAGAGATTCAAGAATGATGACTCAATTTCATTCAACTTTAACCAAACAAAAGCTTGAACTCATTTGAAACACTTAGGTGAAATAAATTGATCCTAAGTGTTGCTTTCCAAGTGTAGATAGTCTTTATTGTCCGTCCAACAAGTACAGATGATGCTAGAACATAAATTACATTACTTGATCAACTCAAATGGTCAAAGGCCTTAAGACCCACAGCGACACTATTAACTATATTTATGGAAGGCTCCATTTTATCAATTTGGCAATTTTCATGTACATCATTAACTGTACCTCCAATAAAAAAAAAGAATTGAGTTTGGACACATCTGATATGTAGTCCAAGTGGATAAAACACTTTTCCCAGCATCAATATACACTTTTGCATATCCATTTCTGCATTTATCCAAGACTACTATTAAAAGGATTTAATAGTAGATTAAGCATAAAATTCAGCCAAACGCCAAAAAACTAAGCATTAAGTCCAAAGCTTTGTTAAATTAAATTTTCTCGAGTTTTTTTCTATTTTTCCTCGCGTTCCATCTCTTTCACGACATAAATTTGGATTTATTAAGTCCGATTGCAAGGCAGATTTATTCCGTCGTCACTTACGAACTTCGCTATCGAAGATAAAATCGAATTTATCGAATTGATAAATCCGACATGACGTAAATCTAAGTTGCAGCCAAACACCTCCTAAAAGTTGGAGTTTCGCTTCATTTTAAAATATTTTGAATCTATGGGCAGAAAGTAAAAGGAGCCTTGCACAACCTCCTTGATGAATCAACCTCCATGGGGAAAAAATCAAGTTTGGTTAGGAAAAAGCAGCCTAAATGAGCAACCCAAACAAATGTTACCGAAAATTCATAAAGCTCCACTTCCCTTGTAAAACTTTAATATCAAAATAAAGCCATAAAGTCCTCTACAGCATGTAACTTTAATATTAGCATTCAATTTAGACAAGATGACCCTTTTATCTTACCCAACTGGATAAAAAATTTAGATTTAGAATTTCAAAAAAAAATTAATATTTGAACTCAAACTTGTGTGAAATATCGTCGTTATACAGATGCAATAACATAAATATGAATCAATCCTCCCTATTGAATCAGTAATCTTCCCTATTGAAGCAGGCAAGTTTGACAAAATCACAAACACTCGGGAAAAATTAACGTCAGAAGCTGCAAAACCTGCAAAGACATCACGTGTCTTTCTCCCGATTATCAGAGGGTGCATCTCCGTGAAGCGGAAAATGATTAGCAGCGCTTTCAGAAAACGAATACTAATCAATTTGCATGTAAGAGAATAGGAATTCCACAAATTCAATGGCATATGTATCTACTTGAACTAAAAGTCCAGCCCTAATCATAATCATGAAGTATCATAGTGATGGGATGAGTAAACCATATATCCACTTCCAATTCATAATGTCATACAGCTGGTAATGTATATTAAAAAAGAAAACAGATGCAATGGAGGACAAGGACCTATTTGAAAAAATTTAGGATTTTTTACATGTCAATCGACCAAAACATTAAATAAGGAACAGGAAACTTGCCTATATAAATCACACTGCAGAGAACCCGAAGGTCCCGGACTAGCGACACCCCCAGCAGTTTCCACCAACCTCCAAGCTGCAACTTTTTCATCTTTCTGTCCCCCTATTGAAACACTTAACCAACTTCTCAACTCTTCCCTCAACAAAGAATCATCCACTGCCATCCCTTCCCTCTCCACAGCTAAATGAGGAGAAACCGCCTCCTTCCATCCATATAACGTCAAGCAAATCAACTTGTAACCCTTCTCTTCTCCAAACCCATTCCCCATCACTGTCTCCTCGTAATGGCACGGCCCACTGAACCCTAAACCTTCCCCGATATTGTCCTCTGTCAGCTCGGTTGCTGCACGAAGCACCTCCCTCGAAGCTTTGAGAACTCTGTTGGAGGCAAATATCCCACGAGGCTTGCCAGTGCGGAAGATCTCCAAAACCTTGCGATAGACAAAGCGGGAATCAGAGTCGTCGGGGAAGCCGGTCTGCACGGGCTTGACATAGACGCAATGAGAAGGCTCTGAAGCTGAGAGGACGGATGTGGCAATGCCGGTGGAAACTAGGGTTTTGCCGACGCCGGTGTTGGATCCATAGATCATGAAAGTGGGGCTGGAGATATCGAGTTCCGACGCGAGAAATGAAGGCGCGTGGATGAATTTGGGTTGGAGAAGAACTGAAAACGGAAGATAGCGGCGGCGAAGGAAGAAGTTTGGGCGGAGAGGAATGTGCGGCATCCTCGTGTGGTCGACAGAGTGAGGAAAGATGGTGGACGTTCTCCGTCTGACTGGAGGGCGTGCTAAGTTCGAAATAACTATGAAAAACTGGGAATTTCCGAAAACCTCTGGCTCAACTTCAGGAGGGAGAAGCACGACAACTCACTCAATAAAAACAATAAAATAAATAAGTAAAAGGGAAATTTACATACCTAGCGCATAATTATTGTGTATTTACACTTTATGATCTAGAATTTTGTTTTTTCATCTAAATTCTCATATCAATATAGCTAACAATACAGTGTTTTAACGTATTCATGAAGATGTTTGGTTGCAAGAAATAGAGATTCAAGAATG